ATATATACATATTTATGTGTTGCCCTTATATTTTGCAACTTTGCTGGACTCAGTTTTTGTTATTTTATTCAAAATACATTCCTTAGGATTTTCTGTATGGATCATCATATATCTACAAATAGAGGAGTTTTATTTCTTCCTTTCTGATTTGTATGTGGTTTACTTCTTTTCTGAGATAGGTCCAATGTCATCATGTAAATCTTTAAAAGTAGAAGACAAAGGAGAAGTGTAGGCCAGTGAGACAAGATGACAGGAGAAAAGGCAGAAGAGATACGTGGAAGAAGTGAGAAGTATGGTACTGGCGAGCCTTCTCTTGGGCACCCAGACAACTCACCAGCTGCTGCAGTTGCTGCACTCAGGGATGCGTCCACTGCTCTGTTCCACTGGTGCATTTCTACATGGACTGGGCTCGCCAGTAGTTGCCCTGCGTCTGCTGGTTCAACCCACCACTCCCACGCCAGGAGTCTGGGCTCTGAGAAAGAGTGCTGCTCGTTGCCTCCCTCCTCTTTGTTGAAATTTCTCTCTTCACTCTCCCCATGGATTTCAACTCTCGCCTCAGATTCTTCTTGGGTACCCGGGAGTCCACTTCCCTCCTTCTTGACCTCATGCCACTATATTCCAGTGTCAGGACACCAAATCTTGGAGAGACTCTTTGTTGCTTACCACTCCGCCATCGTCCTGGAAGTCTCTGTCTTCTTTTTCTTTAACCTATGTTGTAAAATTTTAATTGAGTTTCTTTTTGACAGTATATAATTGAGGCATGTTTAAAAACTACCCTGCCAATTAAAGTCTCTTTTACTTATTATATTTAAGCCACTTACATTTAATATAATTTTTGATATGTTAGGGTTTAAACCTGTCATTTTACTTGTTGCATTTAATTTAAATTTAATTTTGTCAAGTCTACTTTATTACTAGCTGTTTGAGTGTGTATCAGTCATGATTTGGCTTTCAGGAGGCTTGTTGAAATGAAATATATAGGACTATGATTTTTAAGCACACGCACAACAATATGTATTTTAAAAAGTTATATATGAAAGCACTGGTTTTGCTACCTCCTCTCCATGCCCCTAAGTAAAAGGATTGGAGAAGATTGAAGCTGTTGCTGGAAATTAAGAAGAGCAACACAACACTTTAGCAAACTTTCTTTACTGAATTTATGAAGTGCCATCCTGATTAGTCTCCAGCCTGCTGGATAAGTACGGCCAGCTGCTTTTCCATATGAGGAAGGTAAAAACTGAGGTCCTTTTGTATCCCTATGCTGAAAGCTTCATTCTGGTGGTCACCTTCCTTTATGGGTAAATTCAGAATGGGATATTTAAAGAGGAAAGGATTTTCTTTCAAATACTAGTTAAGAGGGTTGGGAGACATTAATGAAATAATATCCCAAAGGTGACATGGTTTTCATTATTTTTTCAAAAGAAAAGAAAGTACTTTATTACTACAAACTTCTTTGAGTAGATCAAACCATGCTGTGGCTCATTTTTGGTTTGCAGTCCTTCTTAATGCATGGCTGCCACCTGGCAAAGATTCTTTCTCAGCTTGAACAGGTCAGATATTCTTTCACTGAGTAGCGAAGTAACTTTGTTTCAAATCTCATTGATATGGCTGATAGTTACACTTCTGTTTATTTTTACTGTAATTTCCTAATTCCTTAAACCTGGCCAAGGTTTCCATATGTATAGCAGCAATTTTTTAATTATACTATCTTTAAAAGACCTGCCATCCATCAACTAACATACAAGGATTAGAATAAATGATTCAAAATGAGCAACTGCCTTTCAAGCACAGATTGCCAAACACAGGCCACATGCACAAATAGCTTAAACCTCTGAGTGAAAAAAAGTTAGAATGCTAAGATCCAGATTTTAACATACTCAAAACATTGATAGACCATGCATTTCTGAATTATTAAGAATGTAGATTCCTTATTCTCCATTGGGACCAAGCGTGACTGAATAATTGACCAAAATTATATTTAGATTCTTCCCATCAGGAGGCGACTTGACCCATGATCAAGGGAACTGCAATCCACTGAGTAACGCAGCTCAGCACTTAGCTGATCAAGATGAAGCTCACAGGGAGACTAGTGCCTGTCCAATTCAGAGATTCAGGAAAAAGCTACTACTTACAAGAGCGTGTTGCACACTCAATTTTTACATGTTAACAAAAGTGAAATTGTACTAACAGAGAATATTCCTCAACATTTCCTCAAGGAAAAAAAATTCTTTTTCAGCACCAGGGATCAAATCCAGGGCCTTACACATGCTAGGCGAGTGGTTACCACTGACCTACACCCATAGCCCCAGTATAGTATTTGAAATTCATGGTACATAACTCTCACCAGGGGGAGTTTATGAAAGTTGGTCCAGGCTTGTCCCAGGTCTTCCGATTTACATATGCAGCAAGAACTCTAGGCAGAGTTGGGCCCTGGGTACCTGTATCTAGTAGTCTTTGGGCTGTGCTCTGGCAAATATTAGTGCTATCACCTTAGACAATTGCTGTAAGGCCTGAAAGAAGGACAAACCCTACTGAGGGTAGTGGTATAGCTTTGCTGCCAGGTGGCATTACACCCAAGTTTAGCTCCAACTGGGACACTGATGGCCACAGGCAACACAAATACAGTCTGTGCATTTCACAGCAGAGTTTCCTGATCCAGAAGAGCAATGACCATCATTTCCTTCAAGTTGCTCTTAGCCAGCTTCTTGGGTTTTCCCTAAACTTGTTTGTATAGATTTGTGGTCACCAAGTCTACCAAGTATACATGATGAAATGACAACTTTCTCAGCTTTCTGAAGCCAGTAGTGGTACTTTGAAACCATCCAATGCTTCACATCTCCCTAACTCTGCCAGCAACCAGAGAAAGCTCTCTGCTTTAAAAAGAAATCTGTGATCATCTGCCCACAGGACCCAGGATAATCTCTTTATCTGAAGGGCAGCTGTGTACAGAACACTAGATAAGCAGGGAAGAGTCCTTTCTCAGGCTCTCGGGTTCCAGGAGGCAGAGTGGGACATCTTTGGGGGCCATTTGAGAAATTCCCCTGACCAGACTAGCTTATATGCTTCATTGTAGGTGGCATTCAATATGTCATTAAGTTTCCAAATTGGAGTTCCTTTCCTTGAGAATTTGAGATAACAACCCTTTTGCAATACCCACCAAGTCATGGAAATGACTGCAAATTCAGGACAAACATTTGTTCACAAATACATGATTGCTAAAGCAAATACCCTCAGCAGGTATGATATACTGTATTAACCATAATTCACTAAGATGCTGCTATTATTGCCACATACCTTTCCATTAAAAGGGAGGTCTTTCCAGAGGTGGTGACAGCTTGATCTGCTAATTCTTATTTCACCCATGTTGCAACAACATGCACAGTAGCAGACAGGACTCAGGATATGCTATACTTTGGATCGTGAATGCCCCTCAAAGGCCCATGTGTTAAAGCTATTGGGAGGTGGTGAAAACTTCAAGAGATAAGGCCTAGAAGGAGGAAGTTAGGTCCCTGGGGTGTACCTTTGAAGGGGATATGAGACCCCAGCCTCTTTCTCTCTCTTTGCATCCCAGTCACCATGAAGTAAACTTCCTCTGCTACATGTTCCTATCATGGTATACTCTACTACCATAGACCCAAAGCAAAAGAGCCAAGTGGCCATGAGCTGCAACATCCTAAACTGTGAGCCAGAATTTTAGTCACCTCTTTGTTGCTAGGATACAATACTCAACACCCACAGTTTAAAGGAGGAGAGGTTTATTTTGGCTTAAAATTTCAGTTCATGGTAGGATGGCTCCAAGGCAAAAATGGCAGAAGGGAATAGCAGAAGAAAGTAGCTCAGCCCATGGCAGCCAGGAAACAGAGAGAATGGAGGAGTCAGGGGCAAGAATACACCCTTCCAGGTTATGTCCTCCATGACCCATGTCCAACCAGGCCCTATCTCCTAATAACACACTCAGCTGCTGAACTTGTCAATGAACGAATCCATAAATGGCACCCGATTTTCCAATCACCTTCCACACACACATGACAATTTTGAGGAACACTGTAGAATTAAGCCATAACAGCCAAAATAAACCTTTCCTTTTTATAAGTTTATTTTCTTTTTTTTTGCCTTTTTGTTACATATTTTTAATCAAAAAAATACAACTACAAAGTTTAAGAAAAGGGTAAAATTGAGGAAAATGATAAGATTGACAAGATTTGACCTAAAATGAAACAACAGAAGGGCAATACCTCTGAGTCTAATGAGCAAGAGGAAAGACCAGACCACTGAAGTCTTTATAGGTAAAGAAACAATCATCTCTAACCTTGAGCTCTCTCTGTTCCTCTCCAGTATTCTACTGGTACTTCCCCTTGGCAGAACCTATCTGGAAGCCAGAAAGAAAAGAGCCTGGTGAATGCAAACAACAGAGATCAGCCTCCCAGTTCATAGAGCTTGATGAGAAAGTTGAAAATATGGTGACTTTGATATCAAGGAAAAAGGATATGTTAGTCTTTAAAAACTGAGGTTTGCTACAGTAACCAAAGACCTACAGTCCCAGTGGCTTTCCATAACAGCCAAATGTTCATCCAGGACCAGCTGCAGCCCTTCTATATTTTGTCTTCCCTCAAGAACAAAGGCCAACAGAGCATCACCATTTGAAGCACATTCAATACTGTAGCAAAGAAGAAAGGAGAAAACCCCATGCCAGCTGCAAAAGCATCTGTCTGGAAATTAATTCTGTCCACATGTCATTGGCCAAAGAACATCACATGTCTAAGAATGTAGTGAATGCATAACTTTCCATTGCAAGAGGTATTATCATAGGGAGGAAAACCAGAAAATCGGAGAAAGAGGAGTGCAAGGTGACAGAAAGGGAAAGAGCAAATACAGGTGGGCAAACAGCTGTCTTCCGCAGGTCACTCTGGCCCTCCAAAATCCACACCTACCCTTCTTCCATACATAGAAAACCTTTAGCCCTTCACCCTGGCGGATCAACCCTGAAGATGTATGCAAAATTTAAAAAATCATTTATCATATGACTAGCATCCCAGGATAAAGAGCAATCTATGAAAAGAGAATCTAATTGTTCTGTAAGTATGTGAAATAATTCCACTGACCTGAATGGATTTAGGGAAGGAACTGACCTGAATTACTTTCTAATTGAGCTAAATCTGTAAGGCTGAAGATAAAGTGAACTACATACAACCACTGTATTCTGGCTGATAAAGTGGTTTCCCCTGGGAAATGAGGTAAGAATTCTAAAATAACTACATATGTAAACAATTGAACAATTAAGCAAATGGATGGCAGATGGTGGGGGCCAGGCTTCTTGCTGTTGGAATGAAAGATTACAGAGGAGCAAGGCCAGAATCATCCATGCCATGATGGGTTAGAGTTTGAGACATCAGTTTGAGTTCCCTTTAGTTTCATATAGATATGTATGAAAGGTTATGATGTTTGTATGTACACAGATCAATACATACTCATTGGTTCACTTGCTCTGTCAGTTGAGATGAGTTAGAAGGAATGACACCCACGTAATTTTAAGCATCAATCTTGGTTTTTAACATCTTTGTTCAGTGAAAGGAACCAGGGCTCCATGGTGACATCACTGATTCTAGGACTGGGGCAGAAAATATATAAGATAAGCCAGCAGCATATTGTAGTGCCAGAAAGTAAGAACATGATTTCAAATATAATTAGGAAAAAATAGCATTCATAGTGTCTCCAAGAAAAATTAAATACTTAGGAATTAACCTAACTAAGAAAGTGAAAAAATCTCTATAGTGA